AATCGCTAGCAGTAAGCATTTGCATCTGTCCTCTGTGGAACTAGGAACCACGACCATTCTTTTACCAGTCCATGGTTAAGACCGAGATGCTATGGAGGACGGCATCGACCAACAGGGTTGATCCAATCGATGCGACATAGTGTGGCTCAGTCATCATGGACATACTCATAGTCCAACTCCGAAGACCTGCATGCCGTCGAAAATTGACCAGATATACTGCGACCCTCAACCTAATCACATTAGTCATTACCATTTTTGGGTACCCAGTGATGTGGATCATTGAATTACATTAGCTGGGTCGTGGATTCTAGTCCTATAAGGCAGACTAATTGTGCCGTGTTGGCCATCCTCGAAAGATTGACAACCGGATGACATAGCCTATCTGTGATGTGTTTAACTTCGGCAGATTGAATGGTCATTTTGAAGTAGATCCAGGAGCATTATTATGTTAGCTAGGACCGCTACCGCATAAGCCATGGGGTGACTGTTTGAATCCCCTTTTACACGCTTTTAAGTGACATTTAATTTATAGTGTTGTGGATTTAACTAATGTATTTTCAAGTGTGTCTGGTATACGGTGACTTCATTCAGTCCACCTTCAGAGTAGCGGCTTCTCATTTTTAGTGCAATGGGTGTTCCTTAGTGGTGGGCCTCTCAGGAGTTATCCGGACGGATAAGCGATGTATTTAAGTGCCCCTACTATCATCTACGTAGATTAGGCTAATCTTGAGCTCAAGCTATTCGAAATATAGGGGTGCTATAGATAGAATTAATTCTTGTTATTTTTCGTGTCGCCGCCTGTAGGTACTTATATTGAAAATATGCAAACTCTAAGTACGTATTTTTTTAGTTTTTAGAGCACAAACTGGATTCGAATTGCAACTGTTGCTCTCAGTATGACTGTGATCGGCTTTGTAATTGATCTGATTAAGTACTTGTACTACAATCGTACTCGATGTATATATATATATATATATATATATATTTATAAGTTTGAATACAGAGAATCTGCCATCGGAACCATGATAACGGTGAGATAATAATCGTGCGTAAGAAAACAGGAAAGAGGGCAGTCCTTTTTGGGTTTCACGCAACTCGTTTTGCGTACTTTTGTATTTATTTAAATATGTGAATATACAATTGCGATTATTCAACAGATAAAACGGCACGACAACACTGGCGCCACCTAAACCTATCACGTGACATCACCTCCAGCGTTTGCAGTCAAAGGCATTCCGAATTAGGGGGTCCCCAACCTGAGAGAAGAGCTAATCTGACCGAAGCTAAAGTTGAGGCTGCTTTCCTCATGCTCCTCTTCCACGTCATAGGTTGTCCACCGCAATAATTTTACCAATCGCTTCCAGGAAGCGCAAACAACGCTCACTGAGGAAGGTTAGAGGATAGCATTCGCATTACATGTCCGAAACTACGCATGTGACATTGGAGAACAATGATTTGTAGGCTGGGGTTGTTCGCTCCAAGCACTGGTTCTCGAAACTCTGTTGTGCTTATGTGATGTTTCCACCACAAACGAGCAATCCTCCGTAGACAGAGATTAACGAAGACTAACAGCCGTTTCACGTCTTCCAAGCGAATAGGCCGTCTTACAGCCGTACAGCAGGACGGTACGGACGAAAGCATTATAAACCCTGCGCTTGAGTTTGAGTCTGACGTCAGGACGACGCTATAAGTGTCTCAGTTTGTTGAAAGCAAGGTGGACTTTTGCAATGCTTTGTGAAATCTCATCTCCAACACCTTTAACAGCCGCGATGCGACTCCTTAGATAGGTGAAGCAACCCACCTGTTCCAGAATGTCATCAGTAATGGTGAGCGCGAAAAAATCATTTTACATTTGGCTGGAGTGAAATATAGGCCATAATTGGATGCCTAAATCGATAAGCGGTTTAACATTTTTTGGATGATTTGCAGATCATCACCCAGTAAAGGCATGTCATCGGCGCAGTCCAAGCCTGCGATTCCGACGCCAGGGAGAAGCTCAACACAGCAATTCTGGACACCTTTTAGCTCTTGTTGCACGACAACGATGATTGCACCGTTTAAGAGAAAGAGTGAAATAGAGCAACCTTTGCGATCGACGCTGGTGACAGCAAACGAAGAGAAGAATCTGCCGTAAACCCTAATTTTGCCCGACGTCTGACTGTACAGTTCTCTCAGGATGGAAACAACAAAGAGGAATCAGATAGCGAAGTGGGTGAGTAACACGAAGGGAAGATGGGTAATTGGGTGGCGTGTGCTTGTATAGCTAGAGCAGTAGCAGGAAAGTAGAACGTCGTGAGCTCGAGAGCGTCAGTGCGTTTCCATGGTTCCTCAGTAAGCGAGCTACTACCGGGTTGCCTAGGGCGAAGTAACGAGGTGTATTAGGCGACAACACCCCGAGCATTTCGCTAAATAGCCTATCCACAAGGCAGTGGAGTCTAGTCAGGGAATCTCGCCCAATGGGAGCCGGTGACGGAATTCGCGGTCTATACGGTTTTCATTTGGCCAGGTACCAAACAGGGGCACAATCCTCCCCACAAATTCAGCAGCAAACTGCTGGAATACAATGCTCCACTAGAGCGAAGTATGCGCCAGTGACCTTAGTTATTGGCGTGTTACACTCGCTATGTAGCAGTGTTGTTAAGCGGACATTGGTGGCCTTTTATGGGGAGAACGTTTGCCAGACAAAGACCCACCACGTCCTGGAACACTGCCGCCGCATCATTCGATGGAACGGTAGAAACCCGAATCACCCAGATGGCACCACGTAGAAGTTGTTTGGCAGGCCAGCCACTCGATGAATTTAAACGTCAGGTATATCTTATTCCGTACAAGATGCTTCACTATACGTTAGTTCGGCTTGGATTCCTTAGGCAGATGTAACAGATGAGGAGATTGGAACTTCCGACTTAAATGCTTCCTTCATAATACGAGCTCTGCGCGCAAAATTTGAAACAAAGATTAATAACTCATTGTTTGAGTTTTTGGCAGTCGCCAAGTATAAACTCGATTCAGATTCTGGTGTATGTCGGGATACGTTTTGCACATTCTGGACACCCGGACTGAATGCAAAGCGGGGATATTGCGACACCGATTGCTCCCACCGTTGTGTCCCAACGCCGATAGACAGTCGAAATGAAGCTTACACTCAGGGTGTAGGGGTTGTTGGCATACACCTTCACTGTCCTGTTTCACTAACAACGCTGTCTCAAATGGTAGGGATTCCATGCTGGAATATTTGAAGCACGTAATTATTGCCCCGAGCTGTCATTAGTTAAAATGCGACTTGACAACGTACAGACACATGGACACTAGGTTCGTCGCAATTAGACACAGGCAACCAGCCACCACACATCCAGGAAAGCGCTAGACGGTCGGTTCGTCCTATTGGGACTTGTCAGTAGCGCGCACCTGCCGAATCCTGCCGGATTTGAACCAACGACCATACTCTTGCGAGTCAGCGACATATGTCACTGAGTCATGGGCGACGGCAGCGGACGGCCATGACTGATACCTAACTGCGATATATTGCTCTCGGGGCCAGCCCTGTCGTCTGCACATTCATAACATGCAAGCCAGTGGAGGATGAGCCGCGCTATACCGCAGTTATGTATCAGTCACGGCGGTCCGCTGCCGTCGCCCATGACTCAGTGACGTATGTCGCTGACTCGCAAGAGAATGGTCGCTGGTTCAAATCCGGCAGGATTCGGCAGTTGCGCGCTACTGACAAGTCCCAATAGGACGAACCGACCGCCTAGCGCTTTGCTAGATGTGTGGTGGCTGTTTGTCTGTGTCTAACTGCGACGAACCTACACAAAAACATAGTACCTCCCCCGTACTACTTACAAACATGGACACTAGTTGATATAGTCCGTGACCATCGAATGACGGTAGTAGTACTGGACAACCAGTGGACTACATCATACTCACCTTATAATCCAGACAGGAATACTCACATCCGTGTTACCGCAAACCTCCCGGTGAGTCCTGTAACAAACGCGTTATTTTGCAGACACCGTGTTTTCATCTAATAATATATACCCTTAACCATGCTATGGGACTTGTCAAACATTCACTTTATTGAGTGTTAAACCACTGTTCCATTATACTACGCTAGCTGGATTTCAAAGCCTGGTGGTTTACTAACTGAGATATTCAGTAACATGAAGCAAAATACGCCGAATTTTCCCGTTGACATCTTCTAGGCTTCTGTCTTTACCTAGTCCCCGTTCAGTCCATGACGATTGGGAGATGACTTGATGGAAACGTTTAAGATAATAAACAGCCTCAGTGGCATTACGCCTACTGATTTGTTTGAAGCTCAACCAACAGATGGCAAGATTAGACATCAGGACGAAGTTGTTCACCAACGTGTGGCAGGTAGCTGTAATAAAGTACTTCCTGAGTTAAGTGGGTTGTGAGACTGTAGTAACTTTCTAAAAAGGTCTGGATAGGTGTTGGTCAATTCTTTTACCAGAACTTATGTAACTTTATCGAAATTGAGCAGCGTGTCCTCTTGCGGTGGTATTTGTCGTTGATCCATGAAGGTGTAAGAGTTGCAATCGATCTTATTTCCTTTCTTTGTGAAGAAGCAAGGGGAGGCGATCAAACGTCAAAGTGCCGGTGAATCTGGTTGGCTTATCAGTACATGAAGCAGGACGTTTGTTAGGCGAAAGCTTGCGTTGTCCTTGGATCATGACCTGACCTGGCCTGACTTGAATTCTTTAAGCGACAGCTAGCTCAGCCGTGCGGTGAAATATCGGTAGTGCTCTACGTCTAATAGTTAATGTTCCCTTATTAATCTTCCATGACGCAGCCCATACTAACAAATCAGTTGAGCGCCGTATGAGAATTGCTGCTCACTACCGCTCCATTCAAACTGAATTTTCATTTATGAATGACGGAAGGTGATATTGAGCGATCATGTGAGAACTAAGCACATTTATTCTCTTGGTTTATGGGAAATGACAAATATTTTTCATTACTTTCTAACCTCGGAACAGGTGGAGCAAAGAAGTAATGAAGCCGAGAACAAAGACGAGGTGAGTACGGTTGTAACAGAGTTTTATGAGCCAAACTATCCGCATGACTATCAATTCAGTAAGGATAGCTTTGTTAGATGTTCGCCAGTAATAGCAGTTAACTTCAAACTTATATCTTATGGGCCCGTTTTCATGGAAAGCGCTGAGATCACAAGTTTGCGTAGGCTCGTTCCTCCGCATTGAGTAGACCAGTAAGCAATTCGTCTGTGTGAAACCTAATCGCCGTCTAGACTAGGACGGAACTCTGTTATTTGTGTGATGCACGCACACAATACGAGACGAATGTAGACCACGAGCGCAACCCGAGTGGAAACAGAGAACTTAACTGATTCAGCAGAAAGCGATACAGGTAGGAACACCGAGTTGTAACACGAATTACCCACCACGCGGGGCGTGACTTCCGACGAGACGAATTTATTCAAGAAATCCCGTTGAGTTGTGGTTTGGAAGTCGCGTGGTCACCTTGCGAGTGCCACGCGGCGCAGCTATTGGATTGCGCACGGGTATAAACAAATAAATAAATAATGTTTTATTTCTCGACTTGCAAGGCACAGACCAATTGAGTGGTCTTATCCGTATGTACAACGTGATCACATAATATAGTTAATTGTACGTGTTTTGTTAAATGGTTCCCATATGGGATTAGCAGTTTGAAAATATTAAAGAGATTACGAAACTGGAAACAATAATAAATGTAGGTTTCAGGGAAACTTCAATTAAACTAATATGGTCATCCATGGAACTGTTCTCAGGGGACTTGCGTCCATACAAAGTATTCCCACGATGGGTTTCTCCCGCACTTCCATGCTCATTGTTTCTGTGCCGGTATGGCCAAATAGTAAATAGACCGTCAGACTGGGTATCAAATGTATTTTTAAGGGCTGTTTTATGCATACATAATGGGCGATGAAGCCTCAGCCCGTTCCGTTATGCGGATCAATTAAGTGTGGCAGTTTTTGTTTTAAGCCAGCGAGTCAGTAGCAATATGATTTGCATGGGCATACTTTGATTTTGCTAGCTGTAATCCGTCACCACAAGAGATCAGCCCAGTCATGACCAACAATGAAACAAAGAAGAAGATAAAGTATGAGGAATTAAAAGACAGGAATTACAAGACATGATGATGAATACAAACGCTTGCCGATAGACCAATCACAATTGGATGGAAAATCTTGGCGAGTGACGACCATGGTACAGAGACATCAGCTTGAAAGGCGTAGCGCACCTGCGAACCATTGCGTCAAAGAAGAAGAATACAGAATTGGTTAGACGTAGTGATAGGAGTAGGATCGTTTATAATACATATTCAAGAATATAGCTATATGGAGGTAACCTTATAATATTGAAACGAATAGAGGATATGGCAAGTTTCAAATGTATCCAGGACCATTCTCATACAAATCATCTAGAGTCACCTTTTGACTTAGTGTTGACCAGATATTTGAAACAGTCAGGTGAATATTAATCATGCGTGTGAATAGCGGACGGTAGTGCTTCCACTAATACTCGATGTAAGTTTGTTCCATATTAACGCATATTTTACGGAGAAAACATTTGAGCGGAGCTTTGTGCGAGACTTTTGTATTTGCATTGTGCGCTCGCTGTTTCTTAGTTCATAGTGCATACGAGTCTGAAACTCGAGTTGTGACTGACCAGTGAAGCTCAATTTGAATAGTAGGCGGTATAGAAGGCTCAGGTTAAGTTTGCGTCTGCGTAGTCATAGCGGTTCCAGTTTTAGAGCCTCACAACACTCACTGTATGTCATAGAGTTAGGTATGTTCAAAAACCTCTTTGTAAATGATCGTTGAATGTTTTCTAGTGCTATGATGTCCACTTTTCTCAGATTACTATGCACTATCGTACAGTACCGGGTCGCGTATCTTTGTGGAATCACTTGACTTTACCGCAACATTAACACAAGAAGCTGAGGCAGAGGTATGATTGTCGGACCAGTAGAATGCAGATCCCACGAACTTATCGCCAAACACTGATGATATCAATTCGTCCTGCGACGAAACGTTTGCAACCTGGTTACAAAGCTCGACGAGTACATGTGTGCCTTAGCAGTCGACCTGAGCTACCAGTATTTCAACTTATTTTGAACTTGCAGGTATTTCTGTACACAACTTGTACAACTACAAAACGCGGCCGCATTTTGGTCAATTTGCATCTCATTGGTTGGATATATCAGTGACTGAGGTAGTAAACTGGATGAAACTGAGGGAAACGCCAGGGTTTTTAAAATCTTCGTTGCTGTTTTCACCCTACTGCACAAGTTTGCCATAAGCAACACATATCTAAGTGTCAGTGTCATTGTAATGCTGGTGAACTCTGATCCACAACTTATTTACTTCAAAGATGCTTAAGCCATTTTTCGAGTGGTTCAGGAAACGCTAGTATTATGGTGTACTGATGCTTTCAGCGGCATCAGAATGCCACTGAATCCCCTTTGTGCTGCATGTTCTTGGTGATCCAGCTGATTTGTGCATCTGACGGGTCCCTTACACTCGAAGCCTATCGTTTAATGAGGGACTGCGCGACCAACAGCCAGATGTTTGAGCTATATGAAACCAGAATTAAGCTTTAAAATATCAATCAATAAAACCAGAAGACGTCTTTTGAGATATTTTTCGAAACGTCAGCTACTCTTCCGGATCCGATGAGCACAAGTTAGTAAAGGACACCGTGTGATTCTTGAGAAGGTTCTCCAAATTCACAAGTATTGTAATTCCTGAGGTGTAAGGACTTAGGTTACCAGGAGATAGATGCATGAATCGCTTTCAACAGGAAATTCAATGCGGATGCTGCGTGTAGATTCGGTGAAATCTAATTCAAGACATTCGCTTTGTTGATTACTCCTCACTGTTGATTAGAAAAGCTACCTAACGCCTTGGCCCCCGGAGAAGTCCTGGTCAGCCAATGCCATACCAACCACAGTTGCCTTTACGCACGCGTCCGTAATGCAGTGTACAGTGTGTCCGATAAGTTGTTATCCATTCCCATAATTCAGCTGACTCACGCCTCTCAGAGACGCACTTAGTGCGCATATACGGAACCGCGGCCTCTGTAAGTGGAGCAACTGAAACAATGTCATCATGAACTAATGTCGCGCTATCAAGATCGAGGCATTGGAGAAAGTGCTTTCCAACTGCTTCCAGCGATTTCTTCACTGCACGCATAACGACGGTGGGCACTTTTAAAATCTCCCTCGCTGATATATACATATATATGACGGCTTAAAAGTTTTGTTATAATTATACTTAACGTCGATTACAAATGATTTAACGAGTAAATTGGTCCACGGGGGAATGGTGCCACAAGTTGGTCGGGGTGTACAGAATTCTAATAGCTCTCTGTGCCGCTGACACATCAAAACCATGTTTCAACGCAACTGTGCTTAACGCTAACTTAAGTTGCTTGTCATGGTAATGCTTACAAATCCGAGGAAGATCCGATCGATGGTGTGGCAATGACCTCTGGTAGGGTACCGAGTAGTGGCAAAGCGCCTAGTATATACGACGTGCGAGATCTTAACATGGGGTGTGCTTCGGCGGTCGTCTTGGCAGTAAGGAGAACCAGCGTGCGGCTGCTATCGGTATACTTCCGTTTCAGGAGGTTCCAAGGCACATGACAAAATTACTGGCTTGTCGAACGATCTCCTCGGGGTGCCAGCTGGGTGGTTCGGGTTTATCCAGTCCCTGCGGACGGTTCGGCGGTATTGTTCCAGAACGTAATGGGTTTCCACTTGGCAAGCGTTCTCCTTCTAAAAAACTAAATATGTCCGTTTAAAAACACTGTGACTTGGCGGATGTGACTCGCCACTAAATAAATTCACTGCCTTTTGCGTCGTTCTGAGCAGCATTGTAATTCAAGTGTGTGTTGGGTCCCTGGTCCTATGCTGTCCTAAAGGCGCATGAACCACTTGGTTGGTCACCAGCTCCCAGCGGGTTGCGTTACCCTCCTATCGCCCTGCTGCCTTGTAGGTTAGATGCTAGATCATAGACTTGGGGTGGGGCACCTTAAGACAACTCACTACTTCGGCCTGCGCAACCGGGTAGTATCGAGCCTACTGACGAACTATGGATGGATTAGCCTACTGTTTGTCCTCTTATTATGTCTACTAGCTTTACTGTCACTGCTGCTTAACATACGCTCACAGATCGTCCCACGTCTAGTTCTTCAACTGCACCTATGCCTTTGCCGGTCACCGTCAACAACAGCTCATTGGTGGCATCTGACAGAGTTCTGAACCAAACGTTTGGTGTTCGTTGCCCGGTGTTCATAACATCTGCACACTTAACCGATACCCAAGCTTTCCTTTGTCCTAATTCTCCCTTCCGACTTGCAGCATTTAATGTGCCTACTCCGCTGCATTTCGGACGACAAATGTATCTGGCCCGCACGCTTGCAACATTTTCAGTGAACATCGGTTACCATTACGAAACCAGGTTGCAAGACGCCAGTATCATCATCAGAAGAGCGTCGGAGGTTTGACCAACCTCCCCTACACACTCAGCCTGAAGACTCTCAAAATATACAGTGGACGTTATTGGTGTCTAAGGGGCGATCTCATAATGGTGTACCTGATCATCAGAAACCCCAACCACCCATGCCATTCCCTTCTGATACTCAGTCAAAACACCCCACTAAGAGGTCATCAGTTTAAGCATATTAGGCCATACGGCCGCCTGGAAAGTCGGAGAAACCTTTTCTCCCTTCGAGTGTCACAGCCATGGAAAGCCCTCCCGGAACGTGTACTTAATGCGCCCACCCTCTCACTTTTCAAAAAACACCCTGACAAAACTCTAGCACATTTACACTATGTGCTATAGCCCATGACCACCAGATGCTGGCACTAATGCACAACAGGCAAAGGACAGTGCCAAAACCCTACTCGAGAGCGAGTCACTCCAAACGCCTTGCACATAATTTGATAAGCGCTACTACAGTAGAAACTGGATTTCTGTATCCCGTCAACCCGAGATAGTTGAACACGAGTA